TTCTCGTTTCAAATGCGAGTGGTGCTCCGCGGGAGCGTTTTCCCATTTCCGGGCGCCCATCAGATAACCAGGGAAAAACGGGCGTTAGCTTCCCACGCGCGGCCGAATCTCATTGTAACAAGTAAATTGACCAAGGTGGCCGGACAAAGTGTGGCAGTCGCTCAGGTGGCCGATTGCAAACAAACGGGTTGAGACGGTTGACCGGGTCCGTTGGTTTTCGGAGTGTCTTTATCCGGCGGCGAGGATGCACATCGGGCCCCGGCTAGAAAACTGCGAGGCTCTATCCGTTCCGCGGTCGGCCGGACGGTTATGAGAAATATGAAATCTGGTTCTCACGGGCCGTGAATGGGTATACGGTGTGCGGCGTCTTTCTCTTTCCCGGCGGATTCCCACTCGCCCGGTTAGATCCTTCTCTCTATCGTCGCTCCACATGCGTATCGTGGGAGGATCTCTAGTCTCGGGGGTCCTTTGTGGCCGGGCAGCAGGACATTGTCCATTGAGAAACGGCCAAACAGGTCCTAGAGAGTTTGACCTGTGTCCCGCGTCCCCCTTTTCAATCGAGGCAGCTTCTTTCAAGGAAAACCCCTTTCCTGATTTTTTCATCAAAATAAATCATGTGGGTACAGTTAGAGGGTCCAGCTGGCGTGCGGCGGCGGCAGCAGCAGCGCCTACCAAATCCATGTCGGGACATCCTGTCACGTCCCTGTCGACGTTCCACGACCGTGCGTGGCCTTTGCCAGCCGTGCCTGAACCGAGTTTTCACCTTTCGTGGGAGTCGAAATCATCGGCGGACGCATGGGAACGTCGGCTCCCGTCGCGGCCGATCACGGAAATCGAGCCGAGAAACTGGAGGCGAGCTTTCCGCAGCGTTGGCAAATTAAAACGGCCCGAATTCGCCGGAGAAATCGAACTGTTCGCGTACTCGTCGTTTGAAGTTCAAATCCGCCTTCCGGCGCAAAGGGTTTCCACGAGGCGAGTCAGCTGGTTTCGCGCCCGGCGCGCGGCTCGGCGCGAGGAGAGCCGAATTTTTCCGGCAACCGCGAAACGGCACGCGTCACTTGCCGTTCCCGTTCTCGACAATGACCGGAAAACAAACGATGAGAACCGCGATAACAACGGCCGCAGGATCGCCAATGGGGGAACGCGGGGCGACGAAACACCATGGAGGCTGTTTTATTGTCCAGCCACGGGCACCGTCGACGCGTGTTTCCCCGTCTCTTTCTTCCCGTTTGCCCACCCCCGCGCTCTCTGTCCCCGTTCTCTGTCTTGCTCGCTCCTCCCCGGACGCGGTTTCTCTTTCGCCGCGGCCGGCCTCGGTTAATTAGAAAGTTCCGTGGTAAAGAGAGGAAAGAGAGGGGGCGGGTCGACGCCGGAGGAGGGCCAGAGCTTCGTTGTTACATTATTCAAAACGTCCCCCGCGAAACTCGCTGCTCGCCCGCCGCAAAACATCCGAATGCAAACTTTTGACAACGCGCGAACGCGCCAAGTGCCGAAGCATGTCACGCGAAATAATTAACGATCGCGCGAATTTTCTCGAGCGAGAATTAACGCGACCGTCCGCCCGGACCCCCTCTTCTCTCTCTCTCTCTCTCTCTCTCTCTCTCTCTCTCTCTCTAGCTCGCTCTATCTCTCTCCGTCGCACCACCGCCCTCGCGCCCGTTGTTCCGCCGAATTTCTGCCGGTGAAACTCGAGTTTGCGAAAACGTTGCCGGGGTTTCGGGGCCCGCGAAAGGGCGCTTGTTTCAAGGCAACTTTGAGCTTGCTGGGCCAACGCGATCCACCGCGACGGATTTTTACATTGTCACTTTGCCGAAGTGGAAGCACGCTGCAGCTCGTCTACATAGAGTTAGATGCGAGCTCGTCATTTGCGGAAACGAAACTGGAGGAAAATAGTGTGAACCTGATCTGGAAAGTTTAACCATCGGATATATTCGGATGATGGATCTGGGACATTGCGAAATTATTTGATCCTCTGTAATTCGTTGGAATTGCGTCGATGTTGACTGGTTTGATTATTGCTTCTATTATACTCGGAACAATTGGGAAGGATAAAGATTTTGTTGTGTTTAATGTAACTGTGTTACGATTGAATTGAATTGAAGCTGGTAAAATTGCTGTCGGATAGACTGCAGATTCTATGGATTCATGGGAAAAATTAATAGATTAACCCTAGAACGAATGCCTGGGGTTGTCGGTGACAAAAATGTTTAAATTGTCCGCAAACATGTAAATAAATATTGAAATATTGAGGTTATATGTTATACAACCTATAATATATAATAATAATAATAATAACAATAATAATGATAATGATGACAATATGTATGATATATAATATATGTTTTATTATATTTCGAAAGTAATAGATAATAGTTTTTAGAGGGGGTACGTTCTAGGGTTAGATATAAAACAGTAAAATATGGCTGCTATTTTCAACCGATCGAAGATGACAAAAATGTTACTCTAATACCTTTACGTTCAATGAACGCAGACAATTCTTCATAAAAATTTGCAGTCGAGCGTCGAATTTTTCAAGACGTAGGCAAGCTCACACATTTAAAGATGTCACAGATAAATTGCAGCTATGTCGTAGAACATTATAGCCCCTAAAAAAACGTATGCAGCCTCTCCTACAAGATCACCATCGAATAACGCATCCCAAGCGTCGCTTATCAATTTTTCCACTCTGCAGCAGCATACTTCTAAAACAGAAATTTCCTAGCCTCCCTCAGTATTCACCCTGATCGGTCTCTGCGACTATACATCCGTGACCCCGATTCCATTGGAGAGTACCCGTTAGGTCTGGTCTCGTGTTCTAAGGACTTCATAGGCGAGCGTCCTTCAAAAGAGAGAACGATCAAAGATACGAAAGAAAAGCTTCGGCGAAATAGGCGGGGACGAGAGTGCGACAGAGAGAAAGCTCGATCCGTCGTGATCTACAAAACGGCTCCGGATTTTTTTTTNAAGAGAGGAAAGAGAGGGGGCGGGTCGACGCCGGAGGAGGGCCAGAGCTTCGTTGTTACATTATTCAAAACGTCCCCCGCGAAACTCGCTGCTCGCCCGCCGCAAAACATCCGAATGCAAACTTTTGACAACGCGCGAACGCGCCAAGTGCCGAAGCATGTCACGCGAAATAATTAACGATCGCGCGAATTTTCTCGAGCGAGAATTAACGCGACCGTCCGCCCGGACCCCCTCTTCTCTCTCTCTCTCTCTCTCTCTCTCTCTCTCTCTCTCTCTAGCTCGCTCTATCTCTCTCCGTCGCACCACCGCCCTCGCGCCCGTTGTTCCGCCGAATTTCTGCCGGTGAAACTCGAGTTTGCGAAAACGTTGCCGGGGTTTCGGGGCCCGCGAAAGGGCGCTTGTTTCAAGGCAACTTTGAGCTTGCTGGGCCAACGCGATCCACCGCGACGGATTTTTACATTGTCACTTTGCCGAAGTGGAAGCACGCTGCAGCTCGTCTACATAGAGTTAGATGCGAGCTCGTCATTTGCGGAAACGAAACTGGAGGAAAATAGTGTGAACCTGATCTGGAAAGTTTAACCATCGGATATATTCGGATGATGGATCTGGGACATTGCGAAATTATTTGATCCTCTGTAATTCGTTGGAATTGCGTCGATGTTGACTGGTTTGATTATTGCTTCTATTATACTCGGAACAATTGGGAAGGATAAAGATTTTGTTGTGTTTAATGTAACTGTGTTACGATTGAATTGAATTGAAGCTGGTAAAATTGCTGTCGGATAGACTGCAGATTCTATGGATTCATGGGAAAAATTAATAGATTAACCCTAGAACGAATGCCTGGGGTTGTCGGTGACAAAAATGTTTAAATTGTCCGCAAACATGTAAATAAATATTGAAATATTGAGGTTATATGTTATACAACCTATAATATATAATAATAATAATAATAACAATAATAATGATAATGATGACAATATGTATGATATATAATATATGTTTTATTATATTTCGAAAGTAATAGATAATAGTTTTTAGAGGGGGTACGTTCTAGGGTTAGATATAAAACAGTAAAATATGGCTGCTATTTTCAACCGATCGAAGATGACAAAAATGTTACTCTAATACCTTTACGTTCAATGAACGCAGACAATTCTTCATAAAAATTTGCAGTCGAGCGTCGAATTTTTCAAGACGTAGGCAAGCTCACACATTTAAAGATGTCACAGATAAATTGCAGCTATGTCGTAGAACATTATAGCCCCTAAAAAAACGTATGCAGCCTCTCCTACAAGATCACCATCGAATAACGCATCCCAAGCGTCGCTTATCAATTTTTCCACTCTGCAGCAGCATACTTCTAAAACAGAAATTTCCTAGCCTCCCTCAGTATTCACCCTGATCGGTCTCTGCGACTATACATCCGTGACCCCGATTCCATTGGAGAGTACCCGTTAGGTCTGGTCTCGTGTTCTAAGGACTTCATAGGCGAGCGTCCTTCAAAAGAGAGAACGATCAAAGATACGAAAGAAAAGCTTCGGCGAAATAGGCGGGGACGAGAGTGCGACAGAGAGAAAGCTCGATCCGTCGTGATCTACAAAACGGCTCCGGATTTTTTTTTTCTAGATCGCGAAGGGTCAACGGTTTTTTCTCTCTCTGATCCTACGTTGGGATGAACCCAAGTGCGTCCGCTGTGCAGGTAAGGGTAGCCGAGGAAAAAATCGAGTGCAGGATGAACGGCTTTCGCGCTGGCAACCGCCATTTTGGATGCTTTGTGGGGTAGCTGCGACGTGGAGCAGCGAACTCGTTCGGGGTTAAAAACTGTTCACCCCTGGAGGAAAGTCGAAAGGACGGATGGGGTTTCCGGGCGCAGAGAAAGGGCTCGTCGTGGAAAAAGGGAGAGAAAGATCCTGGAAAAAAAGTGGGGGTTTCATATAAAAATTGCCCCCACCACGGAAGGACGCGACGCGCCGGTAGGTCCTTTCTTCCTTTGATATCCTGTCGGGGCCCGCGGCCCTTGGCCGGCCCCTGGCCGGCCCCATACGTGCCCCGATGTTCCAGTCAGCATCCGAGCATGGGAGAAACCAGATCTCGCCATTGATGATCTACCTACGACGTTTCTCTAACCGGTCGACGGGAATCGAACGACGATGATCGGTGATCGGTGATCGGTGATCGGCGATCGGTGATCGGTGAACCTCTAAGATCGTGTACGTTCTCGTGTTTGTGCTCGTTTGATCGACTCGTTGATGACCAGTGTGCATTGAAAGGCGGCTCGATGGCCACCGTCGGATTCCAGCCACGCTCAATGGCGCTCGAAGGTAAACATCGCGAACGGAATCCAGTGTCTACCTACTGGCTATCTCTATGTGTTTTGAGAACCGGCTGCTCCTCGCCATTGCGAAATCGGTTGTGAACCTACAGACACGTTGCGAAACCTCGCGCGATCTTTCTCGTTACCAGTTACCCGCGATTGCTACGAACGTCGCTGGAGCTAGCCTAATCATCGATTCATGGCGGTTCATGGTTCGACCCTTGTGGGGCGGACTTTAACGTGCTGCTTTTTAACGGCGAATGTGTGACGGTTTCTGTTGAGTGAGAGGCAAAAATTAAGGGTTGTCTGTATCTTGTTGTGTACAAAGAGGCTTTGATGTATTTTCCTCGATAGTGAACATAAAGGAAATTATTGGATCGTGTCAGTTGAGAGTTGTGTTTGAAATTGCCTGTTGCTTTTAAAAGATTTAGTAAAGGAATTCGTAGGAATAACTGTGCGAATTTAGCAACGATACTGAAAGACGAGAATCTAAAATTGCACTCATAATAGATACAGTATTACCACATTATAGTATTTCGACGACAAGCTTTTACGAGGTTTTCGAAACCCTAATCAAACGGTTAAAGATTCACAGAAATGAAACGAAGTCGCGGTGACGAGACAAAAATGTGCGGATGCAATTTAAAAATCGAAATAACCGAAGAACATCTGTCTATCAGGCTTAACTTGTTCGAGCCTCTAAAAATACGGTGGAATATCTTTTGTATTGTGATCGTGTTAGCAAAACTTTTGCGACGTTTCACGATATATCGCAACAAGATTGGCTATTCGGAGCTCGGTCCTGAAGTTTTCGTGCATTTCGGGCGAAATGACGCGAAACGAGACGTTTTTCGGTTTCGAAACGACCCGTGCGACGGGGCCCCTATCGCCGTCGACGTCGAACGGTTCGATAGTTTTGTGACGTGTGCCAGGAATCTATCAGCTTCTTGATCCGTTTCTATATTTCGCGTGGTTCCGTGGCTGCCACGTACGGGGCGCGTTAGATGCCTCGGTCGGAGAAGGAAATTGCTGCGACCCAATACTAATGGATAATGGAATTATTGGTTACGGTCGGAGCTCGCCCTGGGGATGATCGTAATTCAATTGCTTCGATGTGTCCTCTGGACGTTTTGACAGGACGGATGTCCTAACAAGGAAACCGCCTCGGGATATCCGTCAGTTTATCAGTGTTGGCCGCGTTTGTATCGCCGGTGCAGATGTGTTAGGGGGAAAAAATCGTTCTCCGCCTTGTGTTTCGCGAGGATCGTGACATCTGGCTGGATTTTGTAAATCGATTCGGCTGGACCTTTGATTTCGAATCATTATTTTTGAATAAACGGCGCTTTCTCGGATCCGAAACTTGTGAAATTAGCTACCGAGTGTCTGGAGAAGGAGTGGTTAATTGTTGCTTCATTTGATCTATTGTTTTGCTAGGAAACTGTTCTTTCGATCGAAAATTTGTTCAAGCGATGGATCTATATGAAATCTGGAGAGCTGTAAATATTTGGATCATATTCTTTAATTTATTTAATTATACACACGGAGATCCTTACGGTGACGCTAATGCGGTAATGCAAAGAGATAGCGAGGGAAAATAAACAAGAATATGTAATACAAACTAAAGAAAAAGATGCACGATTGTATTCTTCGATTTAGTCTTTAATTGAATATTTCCCGAAATATAATAATACAATTAAGAAGGAATAGAAGTATGACCTATGAACTCTGAGTAGTTCGCTTTATTAGTATCTAGAGAACGTTCGATGCAAACTGAAATAGTAAGAAGAGAAGAACGTGGTTGGTAACTTGCGGTCTCATTATTGAAAATAGACTTCGCTTGGAACTAAAATAACGAGAAGGACGTGTCTATGAAAGGGTGCAAATAACAGCGAAGTGGACTTAATTCCAGATTGACGACCCGATGTGAAATCGATAGCGAGTAATTGGCGTCCATCGTCAGATTCCTCTGTTCCGGACGTTTCGTCTTGCCTGGAGAGCAGAGGAAAGAAAATTAATGTGGAGGACTAATAAGCTCAGGACGTGTCCTTCAGCGACTCCCATACGTATCTGCCCCACTCGTAGATGGAAATTACGAAAGTCTGCGGCAATAAGGGAGCCACGCGGTACAGTGATCGAGGCATTACAGATGTATGGGCCAATTTGTAAGCAATCCAACTTACATTCTCGGAGCAATATTGTATTTTTATGTTATCTTTTCTCGGCTATCCGCGGTCTCCTCTATATAGACACGAATACTCCTCCCTCCCAGCACCGTGGCCACTCTGTTTCTGGTTTCTGCCAGATAAGGGATCCAGAGGAATCGAATCAAAAACAACGAAATTAAAGAGCTCTCGGGGAAGCGGGGCAATTTTCCAAATACTTATGAAATATCGTACTTGTGCGGTACATTGGTCGCAGCTTGCATTTTAATTTGGCTACTAAAACTGAGCACCGTAAAGGGATCATCATCCTTATGAGGTTCACTTAGTGCAGAACATTGGGCAACGCGATTCAAACTATCTTTTGAATGTGTAATCTAATGTGAAATAAGGGGAAACTTTTCCTTTGGATTCTAGTTATTAGAAAATTTTTAAGGGAAGGATTGAAGGAAATTCTTGGAAGCTTCAGTGAGGTCCGGCTTTTCTTAGCCTTTAATAATATAAAATGTACACAGTTTGAACAACAAGGCTGCGCTCCATGAAGTTCATTTAAAACATTCTTATAAGTATCTTCTATTATTTTAATTAAATCTTAGGATAGCAGAAATAAGCTCGACGAGTTTTCTTAAGAAATGCTGTAGCAAAATAGATATTTTATAAATTCTTGGAACAATTATTAATGGATCAAATTAATTTCTATATGATCCTTGTTTATTATGATCAATGCGAACAATTTTAATCGTGCATAACAATCCACAGTCTGACCCTTCAAATATTGTTCCATTCCATTCAAATGTTACTCGAACTTTGAGACAATCCTTAACACAAGAACCAACGTAAGATTTTAGCATAAAAATTGAACATAATATAGTTGATTAAGAAAATTCCTGTCGCAATTCGGCTTAAGTATTAACCATCCTTTCAAATCCTCAAATACGAAACGCCCAATTATTTTCACGAACACTGTACTATATCTGAAAGCTTCGAATCCCAACGATACCAAACGATCCGAGCGAACAAATCACGTCGCACGATCAAAATAAATTAAGAAATCGTTCCGCACCGAAAATCCGACAGCCCATCCGGCGACGGAGGTTCCTCTTCCACCGCCAGGTTACCGGAGCTGATAAATGCTTGATAGGGAGCAGAGCGTTCCGGATTTTGCAACAAACGGGAACGTGCCGAGCAGGAAGCTGCTAAATGAATAAGCAGCCGACGACACCCGATTGGGGCGGCGATATCTCCTTTCGACCGGTTTGCGGACAGGTTACAAGGAGGAGAGACACGGTTCGGGTTCGAGAGGATAGGAGACGAGAGGAGAGACGCGCACACGCGTCTGCACACGAAGGGAGATCGGCGAAGTGACGAGGAGACACGTGTCGGTCCCGGGGTCCTCCTTCGCGCACCTTCGGGCCCGCACGGGCCCCGAGAACCTAAAACGGGGGTTGCTCTTCTCTCTCTTGCTCTCTCTCTCTCTCTCTCTCTCTCTCTTGCGCTGTCTCTTCGTGTACCCCGTCGCAGCGTCCCGTGCTCTCAGATCCAACATCTGCCCCCGAAAAAACAAAAGCCTTTTGTCGTTAACGACCGGTCGCGCGTCTCTTGTTTCTAACCGAGCGCTTTTGAATCGTAGGCGAATAACGGACCCGAACGTCCATTCAGAACCGGGTCGCTGTCTCGTTCTTTTTCCGTCCGCGGCCTCTACGATCGCCGTTTTTGCCCCCTTCTGACCCTAGCTTCGGACTTCGCCCCCCTCCCCCTACCCTTTGAACCCGAACTGCGACTCCCCGAGTTCGTGCACCCTGTTACGGAATTTCTTCTCCGCTGCAACGAGAAAATTGCAAGACGTCCGAAAATTATCGACTTCGTATTGTTTCTATGCCGGGTAACCAAAGTAGAGTAATGTCTCTCTAATTGACGCCCAAATTGACCACAAAAATGGACAATTTGGGAAGAGGAGATACGATTGTTCGAGCCTTGCGGTTTATTTTTATAGTTCTAAATTGTCCACAATTATAAAAACGAGCCGCAAGGCTCGAATAATCGTATCTTCTCTTCCCAAATTATCGATTTTAGTGGACAATCTGAGCGTCAGTAAGGGAGACACTTACTGTAATTTTTAACACGTTCTGGTTGTCAAACTATTTCGGCGCTTACCAATCGATCGCTATCTTGCTTCCAAATCTTTGCATACGTTGATTCATCCGTGCGCCAGTTTCTACAATGTACGATGCAAGTCGTCCAACCATTTCAAATCATTCGAGTTTGTTTCCTTTCTCAATAGGTAGAGAATAGCTTGAAAATAATGTGGCAGTATTCTTAATGTGTTCGAAGCTTTCGATTGTTTCGTGGTTTCATCTGCTTATTTATTTCATAAATGCACGAAATCCGCAGTCTAGTTACGAACATCCGGAAGTAAGGTAAATAATGACATATAGAAAACAAAAATTCTATCAAAAAAATGATTAAAGACCTGGAAGTGCTAATCAACGTAGCCACGAAAGACCTCCTCACAGTGCGAGAGGGTTAATAATCACAGTCTGATAACCATTAAAGAGAAGTTTTTAATTAGGAGCTGGCTTGTTAAAACTAGGATCATCTTTATATTTGTCTATTACTCGTTACTCGTTACTTTATATACTGTCTATTTACTTACATAAAGGTTCCAATAATTGTAACCAGCGAAAGTTGATGAGAAGGATTCGCAGAATGTCGCGTAATCTCGGGCACTGTAGCGTAGTTTGTTGACACTGGAAAGCGCCCTTCTCCCGCCGATTTCCCAGATTCGATCTCGCGCTGCATCTCAATGGATCGATCTTCGGACGGAATTGTGTCCGAGGATTTATCTCGCTTCCTGTTGCACCCAGGTACGTGTCCTTCCGGTGACAGGCAGCTCGAGGCGCATAGAACCACGATGCTTATCTTGATTGCTTTTGGGAGATGTTCCTCTATAGGGCGCACTTTTTCGGTTATTATTGTGCCACCGGCGATCCGTATCAGTGACTAATAATGGGACAGGAAAAAATGTACGTTCTCCGATTACGCGAAGGAATCTCTCAACGATTATGGTTTAAACTCGCTGACGAAATTGATTTCCGAAATTCCGGTCTTGCGCGTTGAATTATTTTTTTAGATTCAATCGGATTGCTTCGAGGATTTCGTTGTCTCTCCATCGTTTCCAACGGGCTGCTGATATCGTTTTTTTTTTACTGTGCAATTGGATAGACGTTAATTTCTGCGGTCATCGAAGAAGGTAATTATTGTTTAAATCCGAAAATCGACTTCTGTCTGTATCGAGGAAAAGAATAAATGATAAAACACCTTGTGCCAATCAATTCATTCATCGAATCATATTCACATCGGCACCTCTATTCCGGGTCACCGCAGACGTTACAAAACTTGATTACACGTGAAACTGATTAGCCGCCGTGCCAAAACAACGAAACACTTTTAACGCGACGAACAAAGACGTTCACAGGTTTCTAAAACCATATAATGTACATTTAAAAGAAACACAGCCGGCATTAATATTTCATGCGGTACCATAATTGCCATCGTCGTTCACGAAAGGATTTTCCACGTCCAATATACGATAATTAGATCGGCGGAATACAATGCGGCTGGTTCGCGGTGTTTCAAAACGCGCGGCGAGGAAAATCCCGGACCAGGATGAGGTAAAGCACGGGGCCGGTGGACGACCAGAAAATTTACAAGCGAACAGAGAAGATGTCCCAGAAAGATCGCGGATCCGTTCCCGAATATTTCCCAGCGACGCCGGGCCGTGTTTCATAATGAAATCACGGCTCGCGTATAAATCCGTACCCACGGACTCGATTCGCGGCCTGCTGCTCGCCCGGCAAACAACAGAAAGGGAAATTCGGTTAGCCGGGAGGAAAGCGCCCGCGGCTGATATAGAGATCTAATTTCCTTCTACGCAAGTCTTATAATTCACCCCCGTCGCTAGAGGAGAAAGGGGGTGGTGGAGGCTAAGGTCCCGGGGTCAGCCGCAGACGTAACAATTCACTTTTAAGTGTCCTCGAGCAGACCTTCTGCCGGAGATTCTTGCGGCTCTTCCTTAGCCCCCATCGTCCTTATACTTCGGCCCATTAACATAGAGATTGGCATGGTTTCATACATCGATCTTTCCCGGCAGTCGAGTGCCCGTATCCATCGAGATCGAGTCCCACCCCCGTACCGGCGGAAACGAGGAACGCGTTTATTGTCCCCTGCGCGAAAAATGTTCCATCGACCTCGTGGATATTTATGCAACAATTTCTGTTTAGGATTTATTTATTTATTGTTGACAAATATAATCGAGCTTCCTTAGAAATATTTATTATTTTATTTATAAACTTTTTTCGATATATTTGTTGAGATACTACTTCCGGCACGTTAGTTTCTCTGCAGACTTTATATGCGAAGATTGAAATTAACTGTCGTATAATAATATACGGGATCACTGAACTTTTTTATTTGAATGTAAATGTTTATTACTGTTACGATTCTAGGATGGTTTTATGTGTTTAATTTATATAATTTTTAATATCTTTAGTACACGAAAAGACCTAGAACCCGTGTACATAAATAAATTCTAAATTCTAAATTAGAATGATTAGTGTGGGGGGATATACTTTAATACTAAATCTATCAGAATAGATTTATAATAGAGTATATAGAATAATAGAATCAGAACAGAACTGTTTAGAATAGATTTCTTAATTCAAGCGTACATCAAAATAAAAATGGCAAAATGTTTAAATAAATTCAATCTTGTCATTCTTATAAGTTAATACGCGTAAATCGCGTTTAGAGTTACTCATCATTATTTTATCATTATTTTATAGTTACTCATCATTTAAAAACATGGAGAAAATTGTACGTGTATTATTCACCGAGAAGTAATTTATTTCTCTACGGTTTGTTCTTATGAACATTTGCTACGTTTAAGGATCGGTTAGGGTGTCCCTCAATTTTAGCGTGTTTTCTGTGGATGTACGTAGTTAACACTTTGTGCGCGGACTCCGTTCGATTCTTTCGGGGCGGAGCTTGATTGACTAATGGCCAGCGCGCAAACTCGAGTCTCTTGACCGTGTAAGCACCGCCATACTTCACGCAAATGAAAATCAGATCCTGGTGTGAATTGCGGCTGGAAATATCGGATTATCGATTTTTCCAGCTTTTCAGTTTAATCTTGCCCCCGTACTCAAATTCATACATCGTTATCCAGTTTCCAATTTCGTCGCGTAGAGATTTATAAATACGTTCATGTATTTTTGTATATGTCGACACAATTTAATTGTTAAAATTCGGTTTCTCTGTGTTACACAAGATATACAAATACTAAAAGAAAGTTTGAGATGCACGTGTATTCGAACATTGGGTGGTCCAGGACACAGGTTCAAGGAAAGGGACTTTCAAGTGTCCTGTCCTGTATCCTCGAGCGTGCCTGGTCATTTCTATGGGGGTCTGTTCAACTTCACAAGACCACGTGTTTGCCTCCTCGTGTAAAACGCGTGAAAGTACAGCACTTGGGAACAGTCCTCAGTGTATAGCGAAGAGAAGGCTGACCTGCATGGTCAGAAAGCACTTAAACACAGTTTCGTACGAGAACACTTCATTCCCTCAGGCTCCTGAGTGAGAAAAATTCACCTTGAAAAATCTCGTACATTTTTCCTTTATTCAATCCTTTCGGTAAAGACACAGCATCCCTATAGCTGATTGCGATAACACCGCGACACTTGACAAAAAGAGAAATATGATTATACATACTGTATAAATGTTTCTTCACAATTTTTCACGTTAACTTCATCTACATATGTACAAAAATCATCATTTTTCTATAGAGAAAGTATAAAACATTTTCTTTAACCCTTAATTAAGCAAGCGGTTTACTATTGTTTTAATATTTTTCTTCAGGTGATACTAACATTTCGACATTATTTTTCAGAATGAATTGTTCAAAGAATTTGCATATCTTTAATAGAATAAGCAACGTCACTTTGATCGTATTAAATAAAAGTACATACATGCATTGTCATTAGACTTCGGATCTTTATGCAAAGTCTCATTTTTATACATTTTACGAAAATTCGAATTAAGGAAAAATTTCTTGCGCGAACTAAAAGATTACTCATCGTACAAGAAATAAAAATAATTAATTTATCAGTAATATACTAGCTTAATTTATCAGTTCCCTTGTATTTTAAAAAGCTGCTCATGCCATGAAAGCATAAAGATCCCTGGTCAATCGATTAAGGGTTAACACTAGAACTACCAAACAAGTCAAAATGACTGGTTTCTGATTTTTTCTTCTACAATTGCCATAAGAATGTCTCCGATAGTCTTCTTTTTATTCAAGCATATAATATAATAGAGAAGTTAATAGAAGTTTAATCCCTTGTCGTTCTTCGCAGTTACAATGATTAGATGATTTTCGATTGTAATCATTTCTATATATGAGCAGACTAAAAATGCTCTACCTCGACTATATAAATCAAACTTGAGAAAATTCAGTTTCATTTCTAACATCTCTAATAACTTAAAAGTAAACATCGTTTAATTTATCCCTCGCATTTACTGTTTTGTATTCTACCTATTCACTTTTGTTATAAATGCATAAAATCCGCAGAGTCTATTTATAATGAATATTGACGACTATAAATCTTCGTTACGAGTCAAACTCGTCAAAATACGTCGAAGAGTTAAATAAATCCTCGTCTCATTGTTCTAAAACGATATATACTCTGGCCACGTTTGGTGCTCGGTATTTCTACTGTTAAAGAACCTAATCAGGATAATAAAAATAACGACGTCTGAGATCCTGAAGCGAAGGTAGTCTGAAGAGGGTGTTCGACTTTTCTGGTTGCAGCGGAAACCTCGCAAGGCACCACCTCCCCAGACACCGTCCAATGCGGGGGTTGCAGGGCGTCCTACCCCCTCGGCGAGATCGTGCGGTTCATCGAGCACAAGGTCAACCACTGTCGCAGCACGCTTCAGGGTTGCCACAGTCCACCGGCAACGGCGGCTCCGGAGGATTCCGATCCGGAGGACGCCCTCGCCCTGAAGGCCGTCGATCAGGACTCGAAGCTGAACTCCGTGCCCAGCATATCCGCTCCCATCAACAAGCGGGGCGGGGGCAGGCTCGAGAGTCCTCCGACGCCTCAGGGCTCGGGACCGGATGCTGGGAGCCCGATCGAGTTGAAAGCCAGCGCCAGCTCGACGCCGAAAAGACGGACGGAGACCTCCGACGAGGATAAAGAGGACCTCCCGAAGAAGCCGAAGATCGAGTCCGTGGACGCGGACACGAACACAGTCAATTCTGGTGAGTTCTACTCGTGTCTGTCTGCTACGTTATCTTCGGCGAGGTTAATTACCCCCGCGGTGCTTAACCCGCGACGTCTGGCTTTGCTACCCTCAACAGAATCTCCTCGATCAAAATCGTTCTCGAGATTGTACGATGATTTACTCGTACACTACTTCTCTAAACATTGTATTTTCTTTACTGTTAATTAGACGATATTCAGTACGGTCGGAGATCATTCTTGTGACAGATGATAGCGCTTTTTGTTGGGGGTGGCTGCAACCGTGCAAGTGTTGCGATCGAACTGTGGATTTTTATGCAATGTTACGTTAATTTTCCGATCACAATGGGTCTAATCAATTTTCGATCTCGTAAGTTTGTATGCGCCGTATATAGCAATGCGCAAAGTGTCTGCATTCCGCTCATGAATCTGAAATGATCGAAGGGGATCGGACAACTGCTCGCGTTGCAGCTGTTAACGGCGACAACTGCACAATGGTTGTTTTACACCGTCCATTAAAACGTCGCAGAAAATTCTGCCAGTACAGTAGTTAATGAGAATGATCACAGAAAAAGTTTGTACGTCCCGCGACCCGTCGTTGTCGCTAGTAATTAAGAAGTTTGCGAAGTTTGCGAAGTTTTCGTGCTCGGCAGAGGTGTATCGGAAGGACGAGCAACAATAAAACAGCAATGCTCATTACGCAGCACGAGGCTAACGATCAATTAAAATCACAAAACCAGACCGATTAGTCCGTTCGGTGTTTCGTATTACCCGAAAGAAGCACTGGGATTAAACGGCGAACTTTAACCCTCCGCGTGTTTGCTTGAGTTTACGATTCTCTGTGCTCATTCAGAGTCGCCTGTCCAACCTTTCTCCCGCTTGAAAACGTTATTTATGTTTCCTCGGACCGTCTCAGCGTCTCATTAATCACGATCCGATCAATATTTCATAGTCGTGCGTTCCGCGGGATGAATGAACGTTTTAGCCCCGGAGTACTTTTAATTGCTACGGGTTCACGTTGGGAATTTAATTGACGCCGACACGCAATGAAAGCCCCGGGGCACGTGCTACCAAAGCGTTGTCGTGATGTTTTGACATATTCCGCTTTGAGTTCTGCCGTGGGTCTCCCGAGTCAAGGCAACCTCTATAAATATAGCCGGTCGCGTCTCTGGGTTCCGGCAACAAATGCTCGCCGCGACTTTCATATTCTATGAAGCGTTCGCGGCCCACGAAACGCTTCTGTGACAGAAGCAATTCTAGCAAAAATGCCATAACATTCAAACCGGTATACTTTCGCGTCGCTCTGTCGCGCGTCCATCCCTGTTGTCGGCGAAGCGATTTTCGTAAATCGAGCTCCGTTGAAAAAAGGAAAAAGAAAAAAAACGAAAGAGACCATTGACACTGTCATCTGCGCCGAAAACTACGGTTTCGAATTCGCCGAGAGGGGGGTCGACAGAAAGAAAGAGAGAATAAGGGAGTTTTTAAAGTACAGTTACTGGCTGCCATCTGATGTCGATCCTGGTTCAACGAGCACGAACAATGCAGCGGTAGATTCGATTTTTGAATTTAAAGAGCCCGCTCGGGGATTGGGGTGAACCTGCCCCCATAGTGCGCCTCCCCCTACCCTCTGCCCCCGAGTCTGACCCCTTTTTATCGCCGGCCACATTGTCATATTCCAACGGCGAGAACGTCCAGGCTCTGCTTTCAGCCTGTCGAAGATTAATAGTTTATTTTTAAATCTCTTTATTGCTGGTACTCGCTCTTTGTTCCGTTGTTCGCGCACGTTGCGAACGTGTCTCCAAAAATTAGTCTCAGCGCAGGACTCGGCGAGGTAAAACATTACCTATGTAGATTTGAATTTGAGAGCAGGTCATGAGAAATTTCGGCAATTAGGATAACGTGAAACATAATTTTTCTACAAAATTTCGTGCCAGAATTGACGTTCCAGGTTGTCTGATCCGACTGCTGCAAAAGATCGTATTCGGAGGATAGCAAAAAGTTACAAAATGGGATGAATTTAGACTTGTAGTATGATTTTTTATTGTAGTTTTTGTATCTATTAGAATATATAGAAGAAGGATGAAGAAGGGTTGATTTTAACAAATTACAAAAATTAATTGAAGATAAATGAGATTAAACGAATTTACATTTGAAACGCGATTCTCTCGTTTCGTTTTCGCGTCTGCATTCGAATGAATGAAAAGTAGGAAAAAGGGATTGCCAGGTAGAAATAAAATGTAGATTTGATATGTATATTTTTCCTGCAGCTTCGACGCGTAGACTCGTTTCACTATAGATAGTTGTTTGATCCTGTAGTCCAGGAATTTCCGGAAACAATGGCGGCAGGGTTCGCCGGTCTGTCCGCGGAATTGCGGCTCACGGATACATAAAGGTGGGGGGGACAGCTTTAATTTCGCACCCACTCGTCGACGAATCGACACCGGAGCGCGATCGCGGCGGTTTACTCCGATTAACTTCAAAGAAACGGCGCCTGCCTCAAACGAAATTCATGCGGCCCGACGCCCTTGATGAATTGAAAGCACAGCCTTTGAGATTCTTAACTCAGTGCTTACCTGTGCAAATTGACGTGGCGGCCTGCTTTGCATCGCAGAGAGGAGAACAGCGCGCGCGAGAGAGAAAGATGCCGAAGGAAGAGCACGGCCGCGCTCCGATGAGAGTCACTGCCCTCTCCTCCGCCTCCTCCTTCTTACAATTAGCGTCTTCTCACTTTTGTAAATATTATTACGTTCGCCGGAATGACCCCCTCCAGACTCGTTCAGTCTTAATTGTCTCTCGTTCGAAAAGGTTTTGTCCGGATGATAATTTTATTAGACACTCGACCTTGGGCACGCTTTGTTCCAGGATTCTCACGTTGACGACACTCTGGCACCACATTTTGAGGTTCTTCAAGTTGAAATTTATCTTTCTCGCTTAGCGATGTTCTGTGGTTGGAGGAAATTACTGAGAATTCGCTAAATCTCCCGTTCTGATTATACGCATTTGAATAAAGCTTTGAAATCTTGTTGATTATTGGAATTTTGCATGGACAACAGCTTTTTGCTATATCTCGTTCATGATCTTTAGAAAGGACCATCGAAGAATCAAAATTGCTATTGACCTCTTGCAATATTTTGACGAGATTTCCGTGATGAGATTTTTAGTAATTATCTGTTAAATAAATAAAACTCTTCTGTTTTGTTCAATCGAAAAAATTTGAAGACAAGGAGTTAATAATCGTACAAAATATGTACTTCGCTTCGAACCTAACGCAACGTCATCAACAAATTTTTGTTTCTATCCCTAATTGATCGTTAAAAATATATTTATATTTAAATATAAATTAAATACATTATATTTACATCATTAACCAGTTAGTTGTTGCAATCTCTCTGAAAAGCGTGCTCCTAAAATTTGTCGCAAAGGAAAGAACAATTATCTATTCTTACTACGTACAGTTTTTTCGTAATAATTGTTTACATCTTTTTATTTGCTCGTTTTAACTCGTCCTGGCCTCAAAACATTCAAAGCATCTTAAAATTTACACATATATTTTAGTTTTCACAAAAATTACAACTTGAACAGCAAAGCGTAACTTCTTTTCACACGTGACTAGTATACTCGGCATAACACAAAATATTGTCATTTCTTCATGACGAGTATATTCGTAAAAAAAGAAAGAAAACAGAAAACTGATTCATGCGGTATATAGTGCACACCGAGGCTCGAAAGAGTCTGTAATAGTTAGCCAGGAGAATCGAGAGGCTGCCCCCGAAGCGTGGCTAAATCGACGAGAGAGTTTCGATCGCGGGCAGAGAGGAAAGCCACTAAAAAGCCGGATAAAGGATGACGGTCCGTAGGGGTCGCACAGGCCCCGTCCGTTTCTGATCCGTGTTGCTCTACCTGGACACACGCGACGATGCTGTGTAGCAGAATATCAACGCGGTTGCTTACGGAGGATTCACCGTTGACGCGGCCGTGTGCACGGCTCGTGCGGACCACGTGGCCAAACAATAGGACGATTCTAATTGGGCTTTTGGACGTGGCCGGTCGATAACAAAAAAACACGACAAAAAAGGCGACGAAAGGGGCTTATCTGGGGAACAAGCTTGACGCGGAGTCCGGGGGATGAGCACGAGCCACGTCTCTCTCTCTCTCTCTCTCTCTCTCTCTCTCNGCGGTTGCTTACGGAGGATTCACCGTTGACGCGGCCGTGTGCACGGCTCGTGCGGACCACGTGGCCAAACAATAGGACGATTCTAATTGGGCTTTTGGACGTGGCCGGTCGATAACAAAAAAACACGACAAAAAAGGCGACGAAAGGGGCTTATCTGGGGAACAAGCTTGACGCGGAGTCCGGGGGATGAGCACGAGCCACGTCTCTCTCTCTCTCTCTCTCTCTCTCTCTCTCTCGCTCTATCTCTATCTCTCTCGTTCTCCCGAACTCGCTCTCTTTGGTCCTCTCTTTCTAGCTGGCCCCGGATGGGGTTAACTGCCGACCCAGCCACTGGGAGGGGGGCTGGAACGAGTTTCACGGACCGTGATGAAATTTTAAAGAGACACCGGTGCTCGCTGCATCAACAATCTGTTACGTAATTATGATCGTTTGCATTAATCACCGGCACTGAAGCGGGTGGCCGTGGCTTCGCCGCGACCCGAATTAACCCTGGCTGGTTACTCCTATCGGAAACGTCTTCTTATCGCGTCTTTTCGCACCTTGACGCACCTGTGACGAATTCTCTGGCGTCGTCGATTTTTGCCGTTAACGAAGATCCTGAATACTAGTTATGACATTTGGAAGTATTGTATTTGTTAATTGCAATGTCAACACTCTGCCAATAAGGGCACAGTAATTTTCTTCGATAAAAGCAAGACCCGCGTGATATGCCAGGTTTCAGGACTCCTAACCCGTTCGGGAAGAATGTCGATATGATAACGACATGAGTACTTATTCCAGAAACTGCAAGCATATAATTTGTTGATGTACGTAACAAAAGATCAGCAAATATTGTTCATTTCTTCT